TCCACAACTGGTCCAACTAAAATAGAATCAAGAATTTGATCATACGCATTCGATTCCCCTGAACCGACATATACTAGTTCCCAGTCCAAGTCTAAAAACAATCTAAGAATAACATAATTTCTATGATATATGTTTGTTTCTATGACAAACATACTGTGTTTACTTAGAATAGTGCTATGAATCTGCATTATTTGTCAAGCAATGCGCATTGTCTCATTAATAGACAAACCAATGCAAGGAAAAGTACAAATTACGTGTGCACTAACCATCTGCAAGAGGTTCATAACATTCAAAAGTGATTTCCAACTTGAAAGGGTCGTCGAATTTCCCGGGATTTCCCAGTACATTTACACTGCATACATTCACAACAGAAGCCATTCCTAGAATATAGTTAAGCAGAATAAAGTAGTGGATAGGCTCACAGAAAAAACTGAATTATTTCCTTTATCTGTACAAAAATGCAAAATGACAGTTTCTGTCTAAGCGTTTCTTCCAAACAACATTTCTTTAAAAAATTGGTCATCAGGAGGGTTCACTTCATGTTTCAGTGCTATTCCTTACAAAGGAAAAGACATCTGCCCGAAATGTAGAATGAAATTTTACTCCTTCAATAAACTCTAATGCACTTCCAGCTACCAACAACAAAAAAATACCGCCGACTGAAGCGCCAAACTACTTACATCATTATCTTTTGACTCCCTTGAAATCTAATTATAATCATGCGGTCAGAAAATGAAAAATTTCCATCCCAATATGAATAGCAGCAATTTGTTTACCGATTACTTTGTTACATACGTCAGCAGTCATCTTGAAAAAAAGTTAAGCAGTCGAGTTTTAATAGAAAATGTTGAGCAGTTTTTTAGAGAAAGTCTTAAAACTGTTAAGTCTTCTAACAGAGATGTTCAATTCGATAAGAACATCATTTGTTTCTCAAAATCGACATTTTGACATTTCAGATTCCGCATTGATAAATAGTTCGATTATTCATTGATGATTTCTATAATTCTAATTCTTAAAATATAGTAGTGACTATATTGGAGTGCAAAGCCAAAATGTTTTCATCTAAATGTAATTAAGGTTGTTGTTGCTCGTTGCCGTTATTTTGCGAGGTTACTATCATGTCGAAATAATGATTATTTATAGAAGTAAAGAAAATTGTCATTGAAATATGAGCAGATACTAAAGCAATGATTAGATTAGAATAAAATTTTCCCGGAAAAGAAATCTGATCTTACAAATTTATAAGTTTGGTTGATGATTGCAACTCATACTCACCTTAGTTTCTTTGTTTAAACAATGAATGAAGCTAAACTAAATTCAAATTTTGGATTCATTATGTTTAATGATATGTCAAAAATAATAAAAAGTAAATTCGATAAAAATTCATATCTGTCGTCCGTTGCTGGTCACCAAATAGTTGATGTCAATGTACTGTCATCTTTGTCTCCGAGTAGCTCTTCATTAATTACAAATAAAGGCAGGTTTTATAAAAGGAAGCTACTCATTGCCAGTCACATCATATCTGTAGAGAGGTACGAAAAAAGAGGAGAAGAATTCTAGGCTGATGGAATTAGATTTGTGTAGGACAAAAGCTTAATAATAGTAGAATGTCCTTCTCTTCATATCTAACTCTGCAGTCAGCTTGCATTGGCAAATAACATCGAAGGAAATTTTTTTAAAGGATTTTCTCTTGAAAAACATTAAGGCCTTTAGGTGGAATTGCGATTGTCTTTGAGGCAATGTGCGCAGGCGAAAAAGGCTTTAATTGCAATGTTATAGGGGCGCAATGAGTGTGTTGTTCAATGATGAGACACGCAGCAGAGAATATTATCAAAAAGGCTCTTTTTAGGCCCAGCAAAAAGGCCTGCCCTCCTCATTGTGTTTCCACTAAGTTGGTTTTAGCAACAGACTAGGGCAGTATAGTTCGAAGCGTTGAGATGCAAGAGGAAGAGACAGCAGCTGCTTCTTCCACTGGGCTCCGAAGAATCAATATATATGGGTTTCAAGCCTAGTGCACTTGGAATGTAATTTGCCTCAACTGTGGATCCCACTCTTTGTAGTCGTCTACTTTTCCAAAAAATAATTTTCATTCTAAAATTTTTACAAATTTTCATTTCATAACTTGAAAAAATCTCAAAAAATTCTAACTAATTCAACGGATTCCATTAAGGATGGCACCATTTAGGTGGTACTGTTATATGATCTTTTTCTACATTAATAATTTCATGTCTCCAACTTAGGACTTATCAAATGTTTTTGATTTTAGGGATGATCAATTTGCCTGTTTTCAGGTTAATGTTTCAGTTAAGATAAGAGATATGCAAATAAACAAAGTAAGTTTTGACTGAGAAATTCATCAAAAATCCCATTTAAGATTTAATTGGGTGAGCGCTTTCATGCTTCGCGAGAAAAATGCATCTCATCCATTCTCGTCCTAGGGATGTATTTGTGATGGAGAATGTTTGGTTAATTACTCGAGAGGGAAAGGAAGAAAGAAACAAGCTGTAGGCTCTGTGAAAAGAATTAAAATAGCTTTGCTTAACAAATTTTTGAATTCATTGAATGAACTTCTGTCTTCTCTTTTTGCGCTATATGTTTTTAATGTGTTCTCGTTTGTTTCTTTATTATATAGCTTTAATCTAACAATTCATAATGAGTAATTAGCTAATTCGATAGGTAACTTGAAATGATAGGACCAAAAAGTTATAATCACGAAACGATTTGCCCAATTTTAATTTGCATTAAACGTAGCTTAAAGATTTGCAGTAGTCAAAACGCAAGGACATTAGTTTATTAAAAAGCTATGATGAACTATTGGCGAATGCAGTAGTCCACTTTGACTTCCATATCGATATCATTAACACAACAGTACCTATTCCAAATATGTTAATGAAGCGTCTCATCCTTTCTGTTTCAGTGATTTATATTAAGAAAAAAAAAAAAAAAAAAACAGTGACAGTAACTTTGACCCAAGGTATACCTGTGTTTTTAATGAAGTTTTAACTCTTTAACTAACTCTGTAAAAGCAAAGTGCTAGTTTAGAAATGTATGGAAACTGATTAGATAAAAGGAAAAGAGGCAGAAGGGAGAAGTAAAAAACCAACACACAGCATTGCTTAATTAAAAAGCGAAAAATTTGTTATAGAAAAAGTCGCAAATGATGTTTGATTAAATCGTCTCGTCTAAAAAGTCTAAATAGATATTAAGCAATTGAAGAAGCCTGTAACTGTCATCAATGGAAATATCAAGAAGACTTCAAATCTTTCACATCACTGGTTGATTTTAATTTTTTTCTAATTTTTCAAATGACTGGATAATAGCACTTTTAGCTTTTCCATCTTCCGCTTTTTCTCTTCCGTTTTCTTCTTTTGCTTCCCTTTTCCACTTTGTTGCCTTTTTAACTAGATGTGAAAACGCAGCAGTTCGTTCCTGACCTCATTTTATGAATTTTTTTATCACAAGTATCCTTTCTTTTTTCATATCACTTTATAATTTGCAGTAATTGCTGCATCGTAATGCATCATACCTATTTTTCCCTTTACTTTGTCTTATTGATTGATTGTCTGTTTAGTGAAAAAATTTAGACCAATAAGAAATTTAATTGGCCATCCGCACATACATGAGAGAACTGATCGGTGCGATTATATGTGTTAATTCTGCCAATCCCAAATTATTATTCGTTTCTTCAAATTTCCGGTTTAGTTGTGCGATCTTACGAATCGTACAGACATGCACGCAAGCCTTGTCATACTTCACGTTGATCAGTACTGTGAACTATTTTCTTACAAATGATGATATAGTTGAAAATGTCATAACATATCTTAACCTTCCATCCCAAAGCGCTGAAGTCATCCAATATGAAATAGCCATTACAGAAAGATTATGATAGCTATAAAAATTAAAAATCTATTTTTAAAGATACTAACTTCCTTTTAAAACTTCGAAAATACATTTTAAATCTGAATCATCATTTCATTTTACAAACTTTCAAAATTTTTTTGTGGGTAGTGCCATTTGTTCATTTATTTCACTATTTTTAAAAAATTTTTCTCTTGTTTGCAAGAAATCCGTTTCAGAGGGAATAAAAGGAAGAAAGAGAGGGAGGGAGAGAAAGAGAAAGTGAGAAGTTGAGGTGAACAGAAGCAAACGACGAATGGCATTTTTTTATAATGAGTAAAAAATGTGTTGTTGCATCATCAATCTATTCGTGTTTTAATGGAAGTGCCGAATGGTGCGTGCGAATGGCACTGATAGTGGCTGAAGGATTGAGTGGACGGATGACATTGTCACTTAATCTTTGGCTGTTATTTAATAACATTTGATTTGTAAGCTCTTCTAACTCACTTTTCTTCATTTCTGTACTTTCTGTCATTTCATGCAGAAATGAGCAGTTAGAAAATAACAAGTGAATCGGTGGATGGATATAATATGGTTAATTTTTGCATGGCTAAATGATATATTTTTATGAAAATGTACTAATTATGGATAGTCTCTCTTTTTTTTTTTATTCTCTTACTTCTATTGCTTCCAATATTTTGCATCAAATTTCAAATCTTGAGCAATTACAAACCATATTTGTTATTTTATTTTATTGCTTGTTGCTTGGAAAAAATTGAACAAATCATTACCTAATGTTCAAATTTTTCTTTGATATATGTTAACATTCAAAGATTTCAATGTAACAAAATTAAATATTCAAGTTCGATGTAATTAAGATGTAAAAAAGGAGAATTATCCAATAGTCTGATATAAATTAAATGCGAAATTTTGCACAATATCGTATCGGGTTGAATAAGTAATTTAAAAGTTATATTTTTTACAGAAAAGCTGAAGAATAACTGCCCCACATAGATATAAATAGACAGAGCAAACATTTAGTTGATTGAAACAAGCATTTAATGACTTCATCACTTTAGTGATGCACTCCATCTCATCTCTATTCATTTTAAATGTCATTCTGCATAATTTCGTAGATTTTCAGGCATTAAGCTAGGTCAAGCATGTCATCTGTCAAAGTAGCTGTCCGGGTGCGTCCTTTTAACAACCGCGAAATTAATAATAATGCTAAAATAATTATTGCAATGGCTGGAAGTACTACAAGTTAGTTACACCTTTATTTCTGTAGTTTTTAATAAGAGAAAGCGAAAGGAAGTTAAAACAGGCAGTTGGAAAGGAAAGGAAAAGACATTGGTACATTTAAAGAATAACTTTTTTAGTTTTTTTTTTTTTTTTCAAGAACAAATAAATTGAATTCTAAAATAAATGCTCATGCAGGATAAGTTTAGACAAGAATGGTAAAGAAAAAAATATTAGAAAAGAAGAGTATTTTATTTTCTTCCGAGATTTTTCCGATATGAGAGAATTAAAATTGATTATTTAGCAATAATCGGTGGAAGCGGTCCGGAACGAACTCATAGTTTTAACTTTGATTATTCCTACTGGTCATTCAATAAAGATGACAGTAATTTTGCAAGTCAACAACAGGTTTACCAGGATTTGGGTGTTGAAATGCTGGACCATGCATTCGAGGGGTACGCTTTTTGACTTAAACGAGTCTGTGCATAAAATCTTTTTTTTCGATGATTGATAATTGAAATTTCTTCACTTTCCTCTAATATTTTTTCAATTTGGAAAATTGATTGTTTCGTAGATACAACGTCTGCATATTTGCATATGGACAAACGGGTAGTGGTAAGAGTTACACAATGATGGGTAAACCGAATGACGAGGCTGAAATGGGTATTATTCCTCGACTGTGTAATCATTTATTTCAAAAAATTCATAGTAATTCGGATCTGAACTTGAAATATTCGGTTGAGGTAGGTTATTTGAATTTACTCTTCTAATCTCATCATATATTTTAGGACAGATTGATCTGAGCTTTTTGATTTTCTTGCGTTATTGTGGGTTTTCTTAGGTATCATATATGGAGATCTACTGTGAAAGAGTTCGAGATTTATTGAATCCATCAAATGGAGGAAATCTTCGTGTACGAGAACATCCTCTCCTTGGACCTTATGTTGACGATCTTACGAAATTAGCAGTATGCTCCTATCAAGATATTTGTGATTTAATGGATGAAGGAAACAAAGCCAGGTAAAGAAACCGAAATCAGATTCTGAAATTACTTTATTATTTTTTAAGCCTGCAAATATAGTTTGCAGACACTTTCCATTGAATACTTTTTAGAACTGTAGCTGCAACAAATATGAATTCGACGTCGAGTCGTTCACATGCTGTCTTCACAATTGTTCTGACCCAGAAGAAGCATGATCCGGACGCAGATCTGGATTGCGAAAAGGCCAGTTCCATTTGAACGAATTTCTTCTTTCAGCTACCTGTTTTAAATTCCTTTCAACTAAATTTCTTGCTTGAATTCAACAAGTTCATTTAATTTTTTTTTTTTTAATGTTAAAATTATAGGTCAGCAAGATTTCATTAGTTGACTTGGCTGGAAGTGAAAGAGCCACGTCAACTGGTGCTGAGGGGCAGCGTTTAAAAGAGGGTGCCAATATCAACAAAAGTTTAACGACCCTTGGGCTTGTCATCTCGAAATTGGCTGAAGAAGTTAGTTCTTCACATGAAATCCTTATGATATTAATGATTTATATTTTAATGTTTGATAGTTTCAGCTTATTTTTTAGAACTTTTTTTTAAAAGAAAAAATTTTTGCAAATCCACTTATCTAAGTTTTTTCATATTTTTAAATATGCAGTTTTTTCAGGCAAGTAAAAAGAAAGGTAGGGCTAAATCAGTGATACCATACCGCGACTCGGTACTCACTTGGCTTTTGCGAGAGAATCTCGGGGGAAATTCGAAAACTGCGATGATTGCTGCGTTGTCACCTGCCGATATTAACTTCGACGAAACGCTGAGTACACTGAGGTACCCTTTTCGAGATCCCTTACAATTATAATTGTTTTTAATAAAAAACTCGTTGTTATGTTGTTCACGCATCAGATTTATCAGTAACCCAACTGATTTTATCATCATCTGAAGTTGACAGCATAATGATATTGTTTTTGTTTTATCAGAAGTTCCTACGCTCATTTTATTCCGTATTGACCTTTGTAGTTGTAACTGGAGTCAGTTTTTTTTTTTAACTCGTGCTGAAGCATATGAATCAATGATTCAACATCCTCAGTTCATGTAGTTTTCGATGATATTTTAGGTATGCGGATCGGGCCAAGCAAATTGTATGTCAAGCAAAAGTGAATGAAGATCCGAATGCGAAACTGATTCGGGAATTGAAGGAGGAGGTATTGAAACTTCGCAGTTTGCTTGAATTAAAAGGTATCGATAGTGATGATCCACAGAATGAAAAAGCAATCTATTCCGCCAGAGATCATGATACCATTGAACAACTGAAAGGTTGCCTTTCTCTTCTTTCTGTTTATCTTTTTAAAGTTTCAATTTAGCAACAAAGTGCACGCTGCTATTAACAGTTTAAAAACTTCTAGTTAGTTAAAAAATTTTTTCACATGAATTCAATGGAAAAATACAAAATAATTTCAAACATACTTTTAAACATTAAAAATTGAATGCTCAGAATTTTTCTAAGCAGTTATAGAAATTTAGATTCCAAAATCACTTTGTTGTATTTGTAGCATCCGAAAAACTTATCGCTGAACTTAATGAAACCTGGGAGGAAAAACTACGCAAAACTGATGAAATTCGCAAACAGCGTGAAGATGAACTACGTGAAATGGGTTTAGCTACCGGAGCAGATGGTACCACTCTCGGAGTCTTCTCACCAAAAAAGGTCAATGGCTACTTCATCTCAAATTTATTATGATATATTTCATACAATAAAAGAAGGCAGGGGAGAAGTAATTTGGTAATAACATTTTCAAAAAAATTTTTAACGGCGTTTTTTTACAGTTCCCTCATTTGGTAAATTTGAATGAAGATCCACTGATGTCAGAATGTTTACTCTATTATTTGAAAGAAGGAATAACAAGGTAAGCACTACCCAATTATTCTCCATATAATGAATTGAAAATGTAAGTACCAATAAGGCATTCAGTGTTTGATATTACTTTTTACGGTGTCAAAAATTAACTTTTGAAGTTGTACTAAAAATGTTGAATTGGTCATTTTGAACTTTGACTATGATGAATAATCGACTACAATTTATGTTTGAAACTTGCAATCATGATTTACAATTATAAGTTGCTTCATTTGGATGTTTTTTGAAATTCATCATGAGAACTGTTGTAGAGTTGGACGGCCGGAAGCATCCCGTCGTCCGGATATTCTTCTTAGCGGTCAGCTTATTCTCGACGAGCACTGTCGTTTCTTGAATGAAGATGGAGTAGTACACTTGATTCCAGAGCCCGGTGCTCAATGTTTTGTAAATGGCAAACCAGTTGTCTCCTCGGAAGTATTACACACAGGCTCACGTGTGATTCTAGGCAAATATCACGTGTTTAGATATAATGATCCAATCGAAGCCCGTCAAAGTCGACAAAATTTAACAAATTTGGCGCCTAGTAAGTTTTCCTTTTAGCATTACAAAGGTATCATAACGTCCATTTACTTAGTATCTCTTAAATATTATACCATTCTATCATTTGTGGCTTTTCAACAACTGAAAGAATCGCTTCTTTGCAACTCGAAAAAATTATTCAGGAACTAATGTCTAATTCGAATTAGGAAGTTGAAAAATTGTAAAGAATTAAAAAGCAATAATTATTAAAGTGGAAGCAAAAAGCAAAACGGTAGACTTGGAAAATGCTATTTACTTAAAACTTAAATTCGTGTAGTAAAACTTGACAACAGTGCAATTTGATTTTAATTTTTTCATTTAAAATGTAGAAAGTCTTATCTTAGATCTCAAAACAATTAGACATATAAATGAGAGCTACTTATTTAGGTGAAACATTAGATTGGAAATATGCTCAACAAGAACTGTTAGAGAAACAAGGCATCGATCTGAAAGCCGAAATGGAGAAAAAAATGCTCGAAATGGAATCACAATACCGCCGGGAACGTGAAGAACTTGAAGTGAAAATGATGCGACAAACGAAGGTTACGCTATGATATTTTCTTGTTGCTCGTAATTCTGTAGCATTTTCTTGTTGCTCGTAATTCTGTAGCACTTATAGCGTCACTCACGTAACTCAATATATCTTGATATCACTTATAGCGTCACTCACGTAACTCAATGTATCTCGATATCACTTATAGCGTCGCTCACGTAACTCAATGTATCTCGATATCACTTGCTAATGATAATGAGCTATGGTCTAAAACGGTGACCTTAAACATATAATCTTAACCAACAGCATTAATAGATGAGAATGATTATTGAAATGGTAATAATCATATGGATATTTTAGGAGTACGAAATGCGTATCGAGACATTGCAACGACAAGTTGATTTGGCACAAAGCATGATTTCATCTACGTGTTCCACGTGGGATGGCGAACGCTTTCTTACAAGCAGCTTACTCAATTTCGGTAAACTTTAAAGAAACACTGTCAATAGAAGCTGGTGGCAGCGATAAATTGATTACCAACATTATTATTACAAGCCAATGGCTTAGAAGAGAAGTTAAGGTTTGAAATTTAATTGCATAAGCATAATAAAATCTTGATTTCGGTTGAACTTATATGAGATTGAACTGAATTATATTCACATATGTTTGATGAAAAATAATGAATCTTCTTTAACATTTAACATTTTAAAAGCAGTTATTATGAATTTCAGTGGCTGAGCCAGAGTGTAAATGGACCCCAGAAGAGGAACGAATTGCTCGTTGCACAGCAACGAAATGGCGCTATCATCAGTTTACTTCAGTTCGGGACGATCTGTGGGGAAATGCAATTTTCCTGAAGGAGGCAAACGCTATTTCTGTTGAATTACGAAAGAAGGTTGGAAACTCTTGAAAGAATACTTTTTAAAGATTTTTCATGGATCCACTGCTATGTCCTATTATCAATACTATAAATTATCATTATCATATGTTATTGAGAATTATAGTCCTTCCCGATCGATATATTCATAATTTCAGGTACAATTCCAATTTGTTTTATTGACGGACACAATGTATAGTCCATTACCGCCGGATCTACTTTTACCTGGTGAAGATTTGTCCTTGCGCCCGTATCCAAAAACAGTTGTTGCGGTGCAGGTGCAAGACTTAAAGAATGGTGCAATGCATTACTGGAGTATCGAAAAACTAAAGTAATATTTTCTGTTCAGATTTGATTTGCACTTACGCACTTATGCACCCCGTGTAGTATAGTCAGAATTTCAATGCGAGCTAGTAGATTGTTGCATGAACTGTGTGAAATGTAATATATTAGTTGTTTTCAAAAAATATCCTTTGATATTAGACTAGACTAGGATAAGCTGTATGACTTCTTTCGTTGCATCTACTTATCCATCCAAGACTTAATTTGTAATTATTGAACTTTTTTTTGTCTATAGCTTTTTACCTAAATCGATTACAACAATTGATACATGTAAAACACCTACGATTTTGCTATGATTTTCATCAAATATGTAATGCATTATTTTGATCAGTGCTGTTTAGACACAATATTATGTTGATGATGATAATATCCAGGCATGCACTTCTCACCTTTTTATTATTTTTCTTTATCCCAAAAATGTGGCCATCAAAAAAGATACCGAAGAGGGGGACTGTAATTGAAGTTAGGATTTTCAGCATTCTGTTTCATTTAGAACTCATAGCAGAGATCTCACTTTAATGATTAATCTTTCCGCATACTTGTCAGATCAGCTGAATATTTAAGACTTTATCTATTTGATGAACTTGCTTAGAATTCTAATTCTTTGTCAAATTATACCAACTTTACTAAATATGGCACCTTTTTAATTTCACTTTAAGTTGATTGTTTAGAATATTCCCTAATATTTGAAACATGTAAAGTACTTTCATCATATCGATTCTAACTTCCTAAGCAACCAAGTTATTGTGATGATGATTTATCTACAATATATCTTTCAACCACAATTTGGGAGAAACATTTCTTCGCTTGTGTTAACCATATTCTTGCTTTCTTGTTTCAGTTCTTTTCGAGAGAAAAAAGAGGAATAAAGAAGGCTTCATTTCTAAACCTATAATTTAAGCTTTTAACTCTGTAAAGTTAGAAATTCAACTGAATCTTTTTGTTGTTTCCTTGACTGCTGTCAATTACTATCCATCAGTTCTGGATTTTTCAAATTTAAATTCATCCACTAAATCATCCTAAATAAATTTTTATCCATAGAAAATTTCTGTTCATAGAAACCAAAAATATCTGCGAGCGGATGAGAAATTTTCTATGAAATGATTATTTATTTTCTAGATTATAAGAGAGAAAGTACTCGAAAGTTTAAAGAATTAAATAGAAATTGAGTTGGTTGCAGAATGAGATTGGAAGGTATGCGTCGCTCCTACAATGCCGATATAAGTGATGCGTGTACTCCGGATAGTCCCGAAGAGGAACAGCATCAATGTTGGCTTAGTGCTATGCAATTCAATCCTGCGAGACTTATACCTGACAGGTGCTTCACCTCATCTCAACCTCTATTTCGCAAGCATGATTCTAAACTGTAGCTTTTGCACCCATCTAACCATAATACACCTTTTTATTAGCACTTCGTGATACACTTGTTAGAGATTTTTCGTCAACAATAGCTCAATATTTATTTATTCCTGAAAATTTCACTTAATCAAGCTCGAATTAAGAACGTATATATATACATCTTCTCACTTGCTATGGAAAGATATGCTAGATGCTCAGGATGATTTCATAAGTTGATTTAAAAATTTTGAAAACTTTTAATATTTGTCTTAGCTAATAGTAATATAAACTTTTAAATGTAATGTTAGAAATAGGTTCAGTTCTATTATTGAGAAAGGAGCCTAATATTTAACGCTATAATTTGCATTTTGAAGCATTTTAGAAGAAAAAGTAGAAGATTTTTGGGAGGATTACCAAAGCTGATCCATAAAATCATAAAATCGGTGCATATTTTTTTAAAAAAGGGATCAGTACTTATGATCCTATTAAGATTCTTTTAAAAAAAAAAAAAAAAAAACGTTAATCGAATGTTGCTCAATTTTTGGTTTAGAACAAATCAAATATAATTAAAATATTGCAACTATTTTTGAATTACAATCCGAATTATAATCAAATTTATTTCTATTTCCGAATTATATTATATTTCTCTTTATTATATATTTTTTTCCGAATTATCTTCAAACTTGACCTAATTTAAAAAAAAGTCTTGTTAAGGCAACGTTTGGAGTCGATGCGTGAAATGTATCATATGGAAGAGGGATATAGCTCTGAAAGTCCAGAAGATCCAATGATCGATGCATTAATGGGTACAGATCCGTTTTATGACCGTTTCCCATGGTTTCGAATGATCGGAAGGTTAATATTATTTATCTATTACATAGTTAAATTAACCTTTATTTTATAATTTCATTTTTCTCTGTGTTTGCAGGGCTTTCGTTTATTTAAATAATCTAGTGCATAATGTGCCTCTGGTGCATAAAGTTGTGATTGTCAATGAAAGAGCCGAAGTCAAAGGTCATCTTCGGGTTGCTATAGAGCCTGTTCTGGATGGTATGTTTTACCGTTCCTTACGGGTAGAAATTATTGCTAATAAAGGATATATTTTCATTAAATCATCCCAACAAATATGTTATGATATAATTCAGATGAGATGAAACCATTGAAAGGTGTTAACCAGTCGGTAAAGTGTCACTTCCGTAAGGAAGACTTCACAAAGAGAGTTCAACCAACGAACACCACATTAGAATCAACGAATGAGCGTTTCGTAGAAGGTATTAATACAAAAGATGATGAAATGCAACAAAGCATCGGTGAGTATTCTTTTGTAATTTACAGTTCTGACAGTCTGTATTTCATAGAGGATTTGAATTTTGAATTTCAGAATTATGATTTATTTTGATAGTAGACAACTTTAATATCAATAAAAAATTTCCAGAAAAAATGGACGAAGAAACTGTGCATTATCCAAAACACATGCAACCTAATAGAGAATACTGTTTCCGTATTACTATTATTGAAGCATCTGATATTTCCGAACAATATAGTGACGTGTTTTGCCAATTCAAGTTATTCTTTTTCATGATTAAATTTTAACTATTTTTAATTCTCTATCTTTTCATTTATTGGACTTTAGGAGTAAGAATTTTATGACTCTAAACATTTTAAAATATTACAGTTTCTTGCATCGTCATGATGAAGCATTCTCAACCGAACCAATGAAAAATACGACGAAAACTTCCTTAACGTTTGGTCATGTTCAAGTAAGTAGTCAAAAGCACTTTACTTTGTCATTCAGTCGACGCTTGCTCAATCAATTTATTTTGTTGATAATTTTAATTTTATAATTACAGAATATTCGAGTGGTCATGTCGCCAACATTTTTATATTATGTCAATCATTTCCCTATCATATTCGAAATTTTTGGTCATTACAAGCCATCTCTGCAGCAGTTTGCTTATGAACGTCAGAATAGTTCCCTCGGGTATAACTTAATCCGATCGATTATGTGTTGTGTATCGAATTAACTTTGATTTAATTAATACTGCTTTCCCTAATCAAAATAAGCTCTGCAGAAAAGTTAGAGTAGGCTAATACTTAATTTAAGCAAATAAATTACACTAAAAGTCTAGTTTGATTATGGAGTGGAAATGAAAATCTGAATTTTAGGCGAAGATTATCAACAAAATTATCGTTCCAGCAACCATCATTATTAATCGCAACACCTGTTAGAAGCAAAAAAGCCACCATCATTCCAAACAAGTAATTCCTTCATGCGTTTTTGAGATGGATGAGAAGTGTATTTTGACATGTCTGAGCTAGTTCATAATGATCTGACATTATAGTCTGAGTCAAGTACGATCGAAATATGATCTACTTGTGTGGTTCGAAATTTGTGAGCTTGGAAGCAATGGTGAATATGTTCCAGCAACTGTAGACCATGCCCAGGGTGAGTGAGCGGTTGTAACATATGAATATAAACGAAATTTATGAACTTTAATTCTCAGGATTCCGGAAATATTTTTTCGAATCTGAGAATTGAATGTATTGAATGTTCTGCTGAAAATTAAGATTTTATTTAAGAAACTCCTTTTTTTTACCGATTATGATTTAGGTCTACTAACCCATGGCATATTTTTGCTCCATCAAGGGATTCAACGACGGTTGAAAATTACAATATGCCATGAAAAAGGCGATGATGTAAAATGGAAGGACTGTCAAGAATTAGTAGTCGGTCGGATACGATCAACACCAGAATGGAGTGGTGAAGATGTCGACGTACTATCTTTGGGACTATTTCCAGGAACGTTCTTAGAATTCTCGATGGATGACAGGTATGCAGAGAAAATAATAAAAATCCAAAACTATGTCGAGGTTTCCCTTATCAAGAAGAATAAAAGCTTATCATCACAATCTCAAAAATTATTTTATCTAAAATGAACCATATTTCAGCTCCAGAGAGAAATGAAGCATTGCTTCATTTTAAAGTTGGTCTAAGTTTTTATCCCAAAATCAATAAATTTCATATATTTTCCAGGGTGTTCTTCCAGTTTGAAGCAGCTTGGGACAGTTCACTGCATAATTCTCCTCTTCTTAATAAAGTATCAAACTATGGTGAGCAAGTGTATATGACGTTATCCGCCTACATGGAACTAGAGAATTGCACCCAACCAGCAGTGATTACAAAGGATCTTTGCATGATGATTTATGCCAGAGACTCGAAAATCTCAGCCGCCAGCAGGTTACCAACAATAGTCGCCCTATACAAATACGGCCTTATTATATGCTTTTTAAGGTTATTTTGAGAACAGCACAAAATGCAACAAAACGAGCCTCTCGCTTGCTTTTCCTTCTTTTACCTTTACCTACCTACTCGCACTTATTCAATACTTAGCTGTTTGTAGATATGCAGCTAATTCAAGTTTACCATACACTGCGAATCCAATTGAACTAACAACAATCTTACCTGCTCACTTAATTATCTGATCATTCCTCTTGTGTTTTTCTTACTAAATTGCTTTCTTTCTTTATGTTAAATCTACTTCAAAATGATATTTATCGTGACTAATTCAAATAAAAATGGATTACTTTGTAGAATATTTAATAAATAGGTACAAACTTGCGTGGCATAAAAAATGCAATTATAAGCAAAACCAAAGATTATTCAACGACTTAAGCACAGTAAGCTAGGGACCTTACATCTGTTCCACCTTTTCCCATGTTGAATTTCCATATAATTTCCTGTTTCTTGTCCCTTTAAAAGAAGGACCAATTTCTTACAAAAGTTTTCAGCTCCAGGATAGGATTAGAACCATGCTTTTTGCTTACACCAAGTGATAATGACTGTTGTTTAGTAAATTCAAAAATTAAGGTTTTGTCGATCGTTGATTGGTGGAATAAGCAAAAGTCCAGAAATGAATCGTGTACCTGGCGTTTACGAACTTACTGTCAAGGAAGCTCTCGACAAAGGTAGTCCAGGTGTGCTTGTCGATTGTGTTTTTAAGTGTTCTCTGTCTCTTTGTTGTACGTGTTCATTTCAATCGCTTTATTATGATAATTGTTGCATAAATTTTTCGTTAAGCTGCCCAGAAATTTTAGAAAATTAAAATTTTTTCCAAATAATTTTGCACAATATTGAATTTGTCCCCATGTATGAAATTTGATCGTAACATTTATAGGGATGTGGCGCATGCAGACTAAACGTTACTTAATATGATTTCATTTCTGCTAGCATGGTTGCGGTGTTTACAATTTATTCACAATTAACCATAGTTAATAAATTTTTATCCAACAATAGGTGCTGCACGGAGGCAACGTCGCGTACTGGATACTTCGTCTGCGTACGTTCGAGGCGAAGAGAATCTTGGCTTATGGCGTCCACGTGGCGATTCACTTATATTCGAACATCAATGGGAGTTGGAAAGATTGACACGATTGCAACAGGTATATGGCAGGACTATTAGAAATTATTTAATGAAAATTGATGATAAATAACAGATACGTAGAGTTTTTGCAGTATGACAAGGGATATTTTGCTGAAATGTTTCAGGTAGAACGTGTTAGACTATTTCTTCGTCTTCGAAACAAATTAAAGTCAGGAAAGAAGATGGGAGAAGAAAACGATATTAAAACACCACTTTCCCCAACAATACCAAAATATCCCATTCCGACAACATGCAAATTAACAGAGAAAGAGGCAGGTCTGGCGCAGAAAGTACTTCGTCTAATCAAACAGAGAATACCAATAAATAAAGAACCACCTACTGGAAAGGTTGCTTTTTATTTAGTTTCTGGACTTCTGAATATTATTTTGCTTATCTCCATCTTCTTATCCCAATAAGTTTAAGTACATTCTACTGGTCAACAATGATCATTTTTATTGCAGGCAATGGATCAGAGTGACCAAACATTATCTTCATTAGGAGACAGTATCACAAGTCCTACTTCCGATAGGTTAGAGACATTCAGTTTGGAGACAAAATAATTCAACATAAAAGTAATACGAAAAATTATAAAAATTAAGGAGATTTAAAAAAATATATTGTACCCATCGGTAACTCTTTGTCTCATCATGGTCCATCAAATGGATTTCGAGGTTTATTTATTTTTTTTTTTTTTTGATTATGCGAAATGCTTTAAATTTCTTTTGTGAAAACTACAAAGGCTTGAAATGTGAAAACGTATTGAAGATTAGTTGCAAATAAAATCTTATTCTTTCAGGAATTTACTGGTTAATTCTTCGCTATCACTTGAATTTTTGAATAAATTAAAGTCGAAATCAAACCAAAATCTGGTACTTAGTTCCAATGAGACCGATGAAGGCGTGCAGCGTTCAATGAGTGGAAGTCGAATCTCACAAATGTCTCTATTAGTTCCTGAGGTAACTTCGCTTCAGTCTTCTTTGTAACATAAGGCAATTAGTAAATTAAAATTTTAATTGTTTTCATATTCCACTTACAGTATTAGAAGCAATTATTAACTGAAAAGTTGCACTAAAAACTAGAAATAAAAAAGGAAATAGGTAGTGAAACAGCTACTAAATACTGTTAGAATAAACCATATTATGTGACACTGATGTGGTTGAGATTTATAGGGTATGAGAAGCATGCTAATGAAATTTCGCTAATAAGCTTACTTGATTATACCATTTAAAGTAATTGACGTGAAGTTTGTTGAAGTTCCAGGTGACAGAAGAGCGTGTGGGAATCGTTGTTTCCAAGAAAGGTTACATGAATTTCTTAGAAGAAAAGACGCAAGGCTGGGTAAAGCGATGGGTGGTTGTGAGGAGGCCATATATTCTATTATTTCGTGATGACAGAGATTTGGTCATTGTTATCTTCATCATATTTCATGCATTTTAAGTTAAATTTATTAATTTCTCCTAATTTAATTTAAAAAGGTAAAACATTTAAATTGAAATTATTTTTTATTCTACTAAAAATGTTTACTTTTCATCAACGCTCAAACATTTAGGTAATTCGTGGTATAATAAATCTAGCAAATGCACGAGTGGAATATTCGGAAGATCAGCAAGCGATGCTTAAGGTACCGAATACCTTTTCAGTGTGCACAAATCATCGCGGTTTCTTGATGCAGACGGTAGATAATCAAGTTGGTTTTTCCCTCTTTCCAATGTTATATCCAATGTTAACAATATTTGAAATTACATCATATTAGATTTTATCAATTTTACTTGCATTACCTGACAATATTTACAGGTATAACTACCAACCCAAAAGTGTTCAAAGTATCGAAACTCATTTAAGTCATTAGTGTTTTTTTGAAGTAAATTTATGAATGGTTTCAGATGTATGATTGGCTCTATGCTATCAATCCGTTACTAGCAGGCCAGTTGCGATCCAAGAAAGGATCGGTGGGTATCCCTCTATGATGAGCTATGTTTCTCCACTGCTAGTATCTGCTGCTACAATTGCTGCTACTATATGGGTATCGTGAAGAGAAGCATGTTATCATTATCAAATGATACTGAAATGATTCTTTTGGCTCTTCTTCCTTCTCACTCTTTCTGCTTTTCTTCACTCAGCAATGAATGAATTTCATATTTTGTAAAAGTGGTGACTTGTTGATGTCAACTGATAGCGGTGAAATATTTTCAGGAAAAATAATTCAAAGGAAATTTGTTTACATGAAACGGAATTTTTTAAGTAGTTTTATTGAAACTTCTAAATAAATTAACGGAAGCTAACACTTCGTATTTTCTTAATTCATTTTTTAACAGCGATGATTTTCTTTGTAAAAAAATACTGATAAAACAAAAATTCCATCGTTACAGTAGGAAAGAATTTGTGCTATTTCCTTTTTCAAATCGGAATTTTGTTAAAAGTTTGTACAAATTAAGCTATAATTTCTCTCTTTGCTCACTTAATTTTTACCGATATTTTGTTTGCTTAGAGTGTTGTCAGAGCAGTATGTTTTCTGTTGTCATATAAGTAGGCTTTGATATTACTTTCGATAAGCGATAGATGATCATCTGTATCTAATAACCATTATTTTCCAAGCAGTTTATCTGTCGATGAGTTGAACGACAATTATCTTCGGGAAAGAGATTTAAATTAGCTAAAATAGAATAACATTGACTGATTTTAGGCCTCTTGCTTATCAAGGAAATATTTTTCATGTATTATCCTGATATATGTATGAAAGTCGCTACTTTTCCATAGCTTTATCCATATTTCTACCCTTACAAAGGACAAAATCTAAGTGTTAGTACGTGGCCGAAATAATTAATGGAAACTAAAAGTTTCAAATAATCTGTGATGGTCGTAGATGGAATGATTTATTATTACTTAGTTGCTCAGAACAATTTAGTTTTAAAATTTAAACTTATTATAATGAAAAAATTTACTAATTGAACTAGTCAGTGGTATTGGGTAAGATAAGCGTATCATCATATTAGGTAAGTGTTTCACTCACAACTGTTGGAATGAATATTGGATTTTGCTCCATAATTAAGATAAGACAGCTTTGTTGTGAATCCAAACTTCAGTATTTTAATTTCGCTTAAATTTGTGAGATCAAACGCATATTTCCGCTTGTTTGATATTGGATCTATTTTTGCAACTATTGTTGAAAGCATTCGCTATTTTGTCAATTTCCCCACTGTCTTCCTAATTCCTATTCGTCCCATTTCTCTTTCCCCAATAATACATGAATTTAAGATCAATGTTACTGTACAAATAAACTATACTTTTATATAAACAACTATATTTGTAAAGGTTATGCCGTAATTGGACTAATTAGTGTTGAACTCGTTGTTCCCAAGGTAATATCAGAGTATTTCCTCAGTTACAGTGTCATCGATTGAATCTATGATGGACAACGAAAAGGGTAGGAGAGACTTTCTTGTTTCATTAGTGCTTTTGCAGCTCAAACAATAAACTTTGTAAAAATATTAACTCGATAATAAGGCTTCAAAACGATAATAAATCTAGAATTCATTAAAATTATAAAATTATTGGGTCATTTTGATTTCATCCCTCCTTAAAAATTAATTTTACTTGATTATATGTTATTTAAAAATGACTGAAATTTTGCAACTGACATTTTTAAAATAATTACAATAGGATTTAAAGAAAGCATTGAAATGCTGATCAGGTGATAAAATGATGATTTACTGACATTATCTTCAATTTTCTTTAATAAATTATTTAAGCCATTTTAATTCCATATTTTACATTACTTTTGGTCTTAAGCAATAAACTTTTAAAAATGAAAACATGCGAATCAGAATTCATTAAATTGGATAATTCCAATTTCATTTTGATCAAAAAATGAACTTCGTTGGTAAAATAACACTTGAAGCTAACAGGTAACATCAAAATGTTGATTCACTAAAATATTCGATCATTTTTAATTCAGTTTTCTTGTAATAAATAATTTGAAGGATTTCAATTTCGATCACCATTTTGATCCCAATTTATTTTTTAATCTGCTATAATTATTAAGAAATATACCCTTAATATTTAAGTCATTTTTGATTGATGTTATTATCAACAAAGTTGAATTTTAGGGAATAACGAAACAAAGTTATTCAATAATTTTAACAAGTTTTTTATTTTGAAGCTTTATTGTCACTTTGATGTCTAAATTTTTATAAGGTTTATTGCTCAAATTACAAAAGTTGTAGTTGCAAAATTGAAATCTTTCAAAATACTTGTTATTAATAAAGTAAATTAAAATTTATTAAATACTGTTTGTTGTTTTTTATTTTGAAACTTTGTTCCTATTACAGAATTTTGGAATACCTGTTTATAATGCAGAATTTTGGAATATCTCTAGAATTCTGTACTATCTTTTTAATGCACCACTTCTGGACATTTCTACAATTTTGCACTTTTCTTTTTAAAACAGAATTATTTTTTTGTACTCATTTTAATACAAATTTCTAATACAAAAAAAACTCTTTTTAATACAAAAATTTTAATATAGATAGCATTAAAAAGTTTGTCCAATATTCCATATTAAAAAAAGAGATAATAATCACAGAATTACAGATGTAATCAAAAATTCTATTTTAGAAACAGATTATCCAAAGTTGAGTACTAAAAGGAAAGTCCAAAATTATAAAGATATCTAGAAATGAACTTTAAGACGAGGCAGACCAAAATTCTAGAAACAATCGAAAATTCTGCATTAGAAAGAAATAGTTTAGTATTCTAACATAGTCCAAAATTCTGCATTAAAAAGGCACCTACCTTCCTGACGATAGTTCAACATTCTGTGTCAAAAAGATTTAGTACACAATTCGAGAGATTTTTCTGCATTAAAGGACTAATTAAGAAAGCGATATCGACAGTGTCGCATCCTACAGACAATGTTGCAATTTCGAATGTCGCGAATCTCAAGCTAAATTATAGCATTAAAATAATTTCATATAAAAATCATCAAATCGCACTACGAAGAATCATTTAATTAATTTCTTATCTCTCATTAAGCCAATTTGTGATGCCCCTTCTTTGTTTATAAAATAAATCTAACTAACTAAATTCCACCTTCTGTTGATAGCTATATTTGTCCACAATGGTTAAAATACCACAAGTCGATCAATTCAAATATTCCCTGTCTTTTAATCAGTAGCATCAGATATTCCTTAACATACTTTTTTTTGTTCACATAGCTATTTTTGTATGCGACAGGTACATCAAAATATTGTAAACCATTGCCATCTTGACAGGTAAATATACATTATGTAAACATAACCAAAGATTCATCCTTCAAAAAAAAACATTTTGCTTTCTTAGCGATCCTTAATTCTGCGATTATTCTTCGTTTACTTCCATGAAGATAAACTGTTTGTTGTATTACTACTATATCTGTTAATAAAGGTACTGTAATGTGCTGTGTATTCATCCCTACAACTGAGCGGAACAACTTAATTCAGGTGCACAAGGTGAAAAATCTCATCGTACTAACACAACCCATTAATCTTTACTGAATTTCCACGGTGCTAAAACCTTCTAAATTAATATATTACCATAAGATACAGTTCAGAATCCCGTATTATAAAGAGAAAATTCAGAAGCTACAAATAGTTCAGAATTCTGCACCAAAAAAAGATAGTTACGAATTCTAGAAATGGCTCAGAATTAGATTTTAGGATTTTATAGATAGTGCATTCCGTACATTTAGATTTCTGAAGACAATCCAGCAGCATTCTATGGCAAAAAGATATAGTAAGAATTCTAGAGATAGTCCCAGAATTCTCCATTACAAGATTTCAATTCCACATGGAAGCTTAAATAATAAGCTTTTAAGGTCGCAATGAAAATGTTGCAAGATTAGAATTCACCTAAAATATTGAATCCCTTTTTTCCCTTTTTTTCAGTAATGAACTTTGTCTGATAATGTTAAAAGTGACTTAAATCCTACAGGTGACATGTTTTTCATAATTACGATATGAAAAAAAAGACTAACCATGGAAGCGCTGATAGGGCGATAAAATGTAACTTGATATTATTTAATCATTTTAATTCATTTTCATTAAAATAACTAAATTAAAAGAATTCAATTTTGCAATTAACATCATTTTTGCTGTTTAAATAATAAACGTTGTAGAACTTTCAGCATCGAAATGGTAGTAAAGTTTCAAAATTATAGTTCATAAATATCACTTTGATCACATTTTTCTACAAAGATGAGTACTATTTGAACAAATTTCAAATAAAAAATCAATCTGTCTCTAATGAATGAAACACTCGAATGGTTTTAAATTTAACATCTAATTAACAGTCAATTAAAAGTGACTTAAACCTGACTGGTGGTTTCTTTTTAATAATTATAACAAAAAAAATGGTATTATTTCAACCGCAATAGTATCATCAATAATCAGCAATTGCATGGCGATTAGAATTCTCAGACTAATTGTGGAGTACTGCTAAATAAAGTGGTATTTTTAACAATGCTCATTAGAAATAATAGGTTCACTGCTTTATATATTGCACATTTTTTATAGTATTTGAACTTTTAAATTAGCTTTAATAGAAATTCAAAGAACTGTGCACTGCAAAACCGACCATACAAACGTTCCACGTGAAAAGTAAAAACTTGAAGAAATGTAATTGGAGAAAATAGAAATTCGCAGACTCACCCACAAAGAATACTTTCCTTAATTCCCGACAGCTATCGACGCACCTTTAAAGAATTACAACGGCAACTATCTTGAGTCACTCTGTTCAGATATTTTGAATCAAATCCCCACTGAAATGATTTATTTGAAATTCTTAAATATATAATATCCAAAAATAACAAGACGATGAAATAAGGAAAACATTTGCTAACAAGTCATTAAATAAGGAAATCAAGTGACAAAAGCCATAATTGTTTACAAAGAATAAATTAACACCAAGTAAAATAGAAGATAATTATCTATAC